AAGTCATATGTTTTTTTAAACTGTCATGCCAAATTAATCCCTGGTGCAATATTGTGTCACCAGTGAACCTGTGCCACTTGCTTGCTTGGACTCTTTAGTTTTAATTGAAAGATTTATCATTCCAAAGAGTTTCTCTGTCTTCAGTACTTAGCACATGGACCCTTGGAAACTCTGTCTTGCTGCTACTGTCTCCTTTATTTATGTAGTGTATGTTTTCTTTCTTTTTTTAATCATGGTTTTCTTTATTGGAATGTGCACAAGGTTTTCTCATATAAGCAAAATAAAAAACCCACTGTGATTTATACTTGACTCATACTGGTACAGTTATGCAACTTTCTTTAGCTTTGTTATGTTTATTGCACTTAACTAAATAATTTGTTATTGATAATGAGCAATTTTGCAGGTAAATTATATCCGATTAAATACAGTACCTCGTTCTTCCTTACTTGTATATTTAATTGCTAAACCCAAGATAGTCCTGTGTGTTGAGATCATTGCTGGATGGAGGGTTTTTTTAATTGCAAAGATCCAGGTTTGATGAATATTTTAAACACTTTGCCTGTGATACTGTACACAGAATATCCACAAGAGGGAACTGTTTTACATAAAGAGGAGTCATTTCCTTGCTGCTAAAATACTGCTTTCTGGAACCAAACCCTCCAGATTTATGTCAAGCTGGCATGACTGTGTCCCGGCCTATGCTATATGGTAGCAACAGGAAAAACACAGGTAAGCACAGCGTTTGTTATGTTCTGTAAACATTATTCAGTTAAATAAGTAAATTTTGAGCTCTTGTGTTGGCATATTAAATAGACAACTATTCTGAAAACTAATCTGTGTAAGTTTTATCTTTGCTCAGAATAGATCTCTCCAGGAAAGAGAGCTGGAAAACCTTGTTTGGTCTGAAGGCAACATGAATGCAGTTGTTGCCACAGTAAATGAAGCATACAGCTCCAGTGTGCTTTTTCAAACTCCACTTTATAAAAGCTGTACTAGAAAGCAGGCCTTTCCTTCTCCATAAAGGAGCAAGCTCAAATAGTACTTAACTTGAATGATACTCATTCAAGTATCATTTGTACCTCTATCTACGAATCAGTGAACAAAATACAGTTACCTACTCTATATATATGCTTTGTCTTCAGCAGATAATTCCTATTAAGCAAACTTTTCACTGGTAATCTGAGTCTCACCAGTTGATATCAATGAGCATACCTTTGTATGTGAGTTTCATCATAAATATTTGGAGAACTGAGACCTATTTGTATAAATAAGAGGCGTTCTGTTTATACAAATAACAGGAAAGGTTTTCCCCTGGGTATATAGAGTGGTATTTATAATCTAGAACTCTTAATGTATGTGTTGGTTGGTTTATGAACAGTTTTTAAGTAGCAGAACTTAAAATCGGCTTTTTACAAGTCATCACAATAAATCTCCTACCCCTGTCCAAATCTGTGTGTAAACGTTGTGTAAATACATTCAAAGCACATTATTTTAAAGTACAGTCTATATGCCTTAGTGCACTTGGTTTGCTTTAGTCTGATTTTTTTTTATGACCATCCTTTGTATCTGTGGGTACAGTATTATGGGGATGCTATTTCAGAAGTGCCTAGTGGTCCTGTTTGCATGCGGAGTGTTCATGAAACCAATGTCTTCAGCACTCAGCTGCAACAATACCCAGGGTTGAATAAATACTTTTTAACTCATACCTTCTGAATGTATAAAGTGAGAAAACTAAGACTTTCAGGCTGCAGCCTTTCTGTCAAACCTTCTGGGCCCTCTCGAACAACAGCAAGAGAAGATGTATGCTATATCCATGGCTTCATAGACCCAGCCCTTGTTATCTACCAGACCAGAATACAGAAGAAACTCCACTGTGCAAAAGCCTTCCCTGGGATGTGCTGTGCTACTGCTGTTCACTTCCCAGGTCTTTCAAGGTGCAAAGGGCTTGTGGTTTCCATTAGCTGTAAGAGCATCTGTAAGTACCTGGCACTTCTGAAGATCAGACGTGGAGTGGCTGTGTTATGATGCTCCTGCCCTTGTTCTACTCCTGGTGTTTGCTGATGGATAAAAGGATGCGTAGGTCCGTGTGCAGCTGCGAAAAGGGTACTTCTTGAACACCAACCCAGAAATGCAGAGCAAATGACTATTAGGACCAGGCTCTGAGCCTAGGTCCCAAGGTGTGTGATCCTGTCACGACAACACTTTGTGGCCCCAGGTGGCTTTCGAGCTGTGGGGAGGGTTGGTAATGAAAGACATGGGAGGGGGTAGCAGCTGTGGCAGCACAGTCTGGGGTTGCATGTGGCAGCTGTGACATGCAGTTTCTCTTCAACCTGACTTGTTTTTTGCATCTAGAAATCCTCCACTTAATTCCCTCTTACAACAGCCTCCTGGGAACGGGCTGCTTCAGGGCACTGTGTGACAATTTTCCTCCAGGATAGAGTAATGTAGTATTTTCTCACTCGTGCATACCTCTATATTATTGTCTAATGCTTCCTCTATTCAGAGGCCTCTATTAATTCCTTCTTGAAAAAGGAAGCCCTCTCTGGAAGGAACAGACTGGAGGAACAGACTGGAGTGAGACATCACGATAAACCACAAAGTTAGACAAATGGTGGTGTTATTGCACAAAAAAGTGAAGGTGAGAGGGTTAGAGAGCCCCATAAAAAGCTTTGAGAACTCATAAAATCTCATTACCGTCACTTAAGTAGCAAACAAAAATAAACAAACTCATGGGAGATGCAGAAACAGGAACTACTACTAGTAAAGGTTAAGAGATTACGATTTCATAATGGTGGCTCTGTGCATGTGTGGCGACTGGGTCAGATGGGGAAATGTCACACACACATAGGCTGCTGTATTTTACCCTTGGAAACATGTCAAGAGGATCTGCATAATACTTTGTGCAGACAACCGGGTGAGCAGAGCATGTGCCAAATGGAGATTTTCATGTATAAATATAAATAAATATATAAACACATCTATGTAAATGCCTCTGCTTTTCAATGGGAATCTGGGAAAAAAAAAGCTGCAGACAACTACCCAGATTGTCTTGCTGAATTTTTTTCCCCTTTAGTATGTTAAATTAAATTGCCATTTATATTTCCAAGGGTTAATTTCAGGAATGTTCTTGGGACGTGTGGCAATTTACGGTGCGTTTGCGGAGCGTTTGCAGTATTTTCCCGTGTCCGTTAAAGACAAGCCCAGAACGCCTTCAGCGGAAAGACCCACGCCACGGCTCCCCGAGGTTTATTTCACGCTCCCTCCCCGCCTCTCCAG